ATGATATGCATTTGAGTACTCGATCCCATCAGTGGTTGTCTTTATTGACTTACACTTGACAATGAATCCCCAAAGCAGAATAGTCAACTCATTGCTTATAGTGATCCATCATGTTAGATCCCATATGATCATTGTTATAGGATCAATGTGTGAGAATCGACGCGTTAGATAACTAATGGTGCATTAGCATAGAGATGTATCATATATGTGTTGTTTCATAATGTTTGTGTTTGCAATCTAAATATAATAATATTATGGGTTGAAATAAAAATACGAGGGACTGGAATCTCGATGGATGAGAAATAAGGAACTAGAAACGACTTAGAAAAGGGTGGTTTGTTATTTATATGGGCAAAAATCTAGGAAATCATGTGGCATCTTGGGAGCCTTGCATTTGGTAGGTGACGTTTTGTTGGCTGTTGCGTTGGAAACTGCTATTATCTCATTATCTTTGAAGATTCTAAGTTTCTCATACGAACTCCATTTTCAATGTTATTTATATCCACGGTTTCGCATTTTCATCTAATACAACTTTCCTTTAGATAATTTGTAACATCCCAACCATTAGGTGTCATTATTATTCCATTAGATTTCATGTTTTAAGGACTACTCGACGAGTTGACGTTGTAACTCATCGAGTAGCAGCGGGTCAGCACACGTCGTTTAATGAGTGACTCGACGAGTCGGCATGGGGAACTCGACGAGTAGGAGCTGGCAGAGGAAACCCTAAATTTCAGGGTTTTTTCACCCTATATATTGGACCATTAGCGCCTCCTACTTTCCTTTATCACCCCTTGAGAGCCAGAAACCCTAATTTCCATGAGTGTAAGTTTGGAGAGTGTTTTGGAGCTTTAGCAACTAATTTTTGTGAATGAAACTTGTAGATCAAGAGGCTAGCATCAAGGATTTCGTGTGGATCCAAAGTCTAGTTTTGTTTAGGCATGTTTTGGAGGTAACAAGCTGTTACCTTGACCTCTTTTCTTCTAGAATCTTTCATATGTGAAGTTTAGGGCTTTGTTTAGCTATTCATGAAGGGATTATGGTATGGGAGCTAGATCTGAAGTTGAAACTTCAAATCTGAACCTCTTTTAAGGCACAAGTTCATAAAGTTCTTAATAGCATCATGAAGGAACCCTTGTCTGTGAGTAAAGTCCCATTTCAAGCTTAGATGTGGAATTTGAGTCATGCAAATACATAAAGGTAGCAACTTTACGTTACTAATACACTCTAGGGACCTAGATCTACTGATTGGAGCAAAGAGGGTAGTTCAAAATTGCGTGATCATGAGATTATGCGTATGGATGCGGCAAGTCTGGGAGATGAATCGGTGAGTCAGGTAGGGTTTTGTCCAAATCAGTCTCGCATGGACTCGACGAGGTCTAGGAGATGACCCAGCGAGTCGGTTTGGATTCCATGCACTAGGTCGCGTATCGACTCGGCGAGTCTGTTGGAGACTCGGTGAGTCGAGTTGAAAAATTCTGGAATCAGGAGGGACTCAAGGCAGAGAGAGATATATTCAGCAAATAGGTCAACATGGACTGTTGACCATTGACCAGTGACTTGACTTGACTGTGGGATGTCATGTACCTCCCAAGGGGATTTTGGTATTTTAAGTGATTATTGAGTGGACCGCTTATGGGTACAGGCAAGGTGGTTGGAGCTATATCTAGAGGTGTGAGCAGTATCATTTCCGAGCTACTAGCAAGGTCAGTTATACTCACTATATTAATAGGGTCCAAGGCACCAAGGCCGGCCCTTTACTTGTTATCTTGGTTATAGTATGTTGCATGTGGTTATGATTAGTTAGATTGGTATCAGGATAGACAGTATGTTGTTATACTCTTATGATCCATTAGGATTGGTATGTTAGTGACCTGGTTAGGTCGGTGCTCTGGTTATCAGAGATTGCTATGATCGATGATCTGTGTCATAGTTATATCTGATCTTTGTTATGTCGATATATGTTAGTTATGCGCACATGGTTATTTGCTTGATGTTGGGTTGAGGCGGTCCACTCAATAATCACTTAAAATACACCGTCATCATTTCTTATTCTTTATGTTCTCATGGCTAATCGTTTTGGAGTTGTACCTTCCACCACTGAGTTCGACAACCTTCATAGGGCTTATATATGGAGAAGGAAAAAATAATAAATGAAAGCAGAGGTAGGAAATTCAAAAACTCTGCCACTATGATGTAACTGACAATGTGACAAGCGGTCATGCCGCCAAAGAAATTGAAGCGTCTAACACACACTAACATGACATGTGTAAAGGCAGTTAGTCCAAAGCATCATTGTTAGTCTACTAAAAACGATACGGGTACTGGGATAGAGGACTTGATAATTTACCCCTTGGAGCAGGACAGGGGTCACGTTCCACCTGTGCCAAGAGCTTTGTCCGGTCACCGGTGTGGCTGGGGACTCTTGACAATAACCAACATAGGTAGCCCCGCGCCCACAAGCATCCGCTCGACATGGGAAGCTTGGATGAGACAAAGCTCCAACTGATACCTTCACCTCATGAAAAAACTAATGACTCTAAATGAAAAAGAGTAAGCCCAAATCATTACCACTTGGATCAATCACAAGCTTTGAAACGTCCAAGAGCATGATCGCCTAATCAGCAGGCCTGGTCCTATCGAGTCTGACACCCTTGTCTATTGTATGGACTGACAGTGATATCCTATTGTAAAAGGTCACACTTGTTCACCGAAGAGGTAAGACATCCTCTTCCTTACTCCGTAAATACTCAATATCCCAAACCACTGACTTGACTGTCAGACCACTCTCTCGGGACCTCTTCCTGGAGAATGGTTGATGGACCTCTCTCTGTTTTGATCTTTTCAGGTCTCCGTTAAAGAAAACACCTCCCAAAAATGGATCTAGAGAATTAGATCGCATCGAATGGTGTTTGTGTGTGATCACTCGGGATAGATCTCATAAGATCACTGTTATAGGATTAATATGTGAGAATCAACGAGATGAGTAACTAAGGGTAAACTGTCATAGAGATATCTATGTTCTATGATATATTGTTTGGCAACAATTGGTTTTGAAGGATTATTATCATAGTAGTAGTGGTGGTGGTGGTGGTGGAGGTGGCAGTGGATGTGGCGGTGGTGGTCGTTGTCATAGTAGTAGTAGTAGTAATAGTTGCAAAGCATCTAATGTATGCTCAATTATGTATACGTCCCTATATTATAAGGATGTTGGACAGATATCTAAACAACCTAATTATGGATCATTAGAAAGCATCCAAATGGGTTTTGAGATACCTGTAGAGAACAAAAGGCTATATGCTTAACTATATAAAATTAAATGATTTGGAGATCATTTGTATTAGGAATCTGATTTTATTACATGCCAAAATGGTTACCAATCCATATTGGGATACATTTACATGCAAGCATGATGAACTATTTAATGAAATAGACGTCGATAGCTTCTTCCGTAATGACTGCATAATTTGTAGCATGTTATGTGGCATTAAATCAAGGAATATGGTTGTAGAATTTTGTCACATGACTGCATATTATTGGTACTGAAATACCACTACAGTTGAGAAAATAAGTCAGCAATGTTATAGTTCAACAACAGAAGTTCTATTAAGTCAAAACGAATTGATATCAAGTTTCCTTCTGTAAAAATAATTGTGCAAAATGGATATATATATATATATATATATATATATATATATATATATATATATATATATATATATAAACAAACTCCATGATAGCGGATCTGCTCATAAATTGATTAACTCCCTAGGTATTTCATGAGCATACTATACATATTGGTGCGATATTTGGTTTTAGTAAAAGTTTCTTTTTGTGCTTTATGTTTTTTAAAACAATTATGTTTTTCTGTACATAATTAAGAATTCAGTTATTCCATTATTAGTTGCACTTATTTGAAGTTTGATCTCACGAAATAGGAAATCATTGGAAATCTATTTTGATTTTAAAACCACACATCATGTTTAATCTATGTCGTTAGTTATGTATGTATATGTGACATTTGATGAGTTTATTTATGTAAATTGTAATGACTAACGAAGACCGCTTTGATCCTATATTGTTATGATTAATGGACGAGATTGTTTAAGGGTATCAATACTATGATAACATTCATTATAGCGCTTATACGATTATATGTACATTTATATATTCGTGGTCCGGTGGGAGATTATTAGATAATCATGGGATCACTTCATAAATATGTATATTATTATCATTAAATCTGGTTATTATGGTTAATATATAAATTGTTGATGTACCGATTTATAGGATATATTCACTTACCTATTATGGGTTGGGTTCTTGGTTTGATGCAAGATTATCTATATCCCTTATATCTCACACATTAGGGTATATATATATATATATATATATATATATATATATATATATATATATATATATATATATATAGGGTTAGGTTATATTATTTTTACTAACTATTGTGTGCCAGAATGCACAGATCTAGACCATCGGATGGAATATAATCAAAGGTCATGATCTGAGGGTCTATGATAGTAGAATATGATAACATGTACCATATAATCACACAAATTTCAACATAAGGGCATTTAGTCAATTAACCTATATTAAAAAAGGAAATTTTCAGATTTTATGATTAATTTCTTTATTTTTTAAAAATCTGAATATTTGAAATTAATTCAAATTTAAAAATCCGATTTTATTCTATCAGAATGATAGAATGCCAACCATAAACTAGTAAATATATTTTTCGATTTTATTCTATCAGAATAACAGAATGTCAACCATAAACTAGTAAATACATTTTGAAAGACTACACAAAATCGATTCTTGAACTAATAATATATCAAAAAATTACATTGTATGATTGTGATTCATTGAATAATAACAAACATTCTGAAAGAATAACAAGTTTAATTCTTAAAAAATAAGAACATTTTTAAACAATGAGTGTGATCATTCTTTAATTTATTCTTCAATCCTTTCCCATCAGGTCCTCAAGCCATTCTTGAAGCCATTTCTACCAGAAATTCATTGCCAAGTAATTTGTGGTGATACACTTGTAAAGCATGCACATTAAACATACAAATAATTAACTACAATTCTATCAGAATACAACAATAATATTCTTACAAAATAAACTATTCTGCAAGAATATTCTTTAAGAATTTGTATTATCAAGAATATACCCAACAAACAAAATAAGAAACTAACATCAACCTATTCTGATAGAATAAGGAACTAACATTCTTCGGGTTCCCTGTGTTTCTTCTTGATATGCTCAATGTATTTAACTACAAATTCTGATAGAATAAGGAACTAGCATCAACCTATTGTTATGAAAATGGCATCCAACCTAATCTAAATTGAGTTATATAGTTCTGAAAAGAATAAGGAACAAAGTGAAGTAAAAACATTAAAGATTTTTAACTATTTTTTCATTGAGGCATTTTATCAAACATATGGAGGCCATGACAGAATGTTGTTTGTAAACAAAAATTGCAAATATGGTAATGGATCATAACTCATAAGACTTAAATTGATGGATGAAAATGAGGAATACTAGGCAGATTACAACTTATACTGATTGAAATTGCAGTGTCAATTTGTTCATGTGCATCTTCCAAGTTATTCACTACTTCCTGTTGTTTCATTAATCATAAATCCATCAATATCATATAACAAGAGCAGATAAAAATCATTGTTACTTAATTTCAAAATCAATGAAATACAAAAGCCTTGGAAATTAAAATCAGCATACCTGAGAGATCATCGTGTCCCTGGCGAACGTCTCTGTTTGATGTATCGTCGGTGGTCAGCACCATCGCCGACGAAAGGGCCCAGCTCCACCCGTTCTCTTCTCCAATCCATAAAATTGGTGGTTCTATGGTGTTGTGGGGTGGTGCTACTGCTCTGGTGGTGTCGAAACTGATTTAGGAGGGGATAAGGGTTTCTGGGTCTATGAAGAACGAACGATGATTTTTAAAGAAGTAGTGGGAATCGGTGGTGGTGTTATATGAAACTGATAACCTAAATTAGTGGGATATTGATTGATTTTGTTTTCTTTTACCATAATTAATTATAGTGTATATTACTCTTATACCCTTTTATTATTTATTAATGATTTAATTATTTCCTGAATTCTCATTGGTGCATTTAGGCATACAATACTTGCTAAAAACATTTGAACCTAGTTCTCTCTCTCGATATATATATATATATATATATATATATATATATATATATATATATACACACACACACACACATGTGATGAGGAACACATAAAGATATACAAAATAAAAACATAATTTCGTTTAGGGTTTGTTGAGGGATTTTAGAGAGAGTTCTTGTGATTAACTGGAAAACTCATTCCATTCTCCAGATCCAAAAATCTCCATATATAGAAGTGGGTATGTAATCGTTCTTTTATGTTTTAGTTTTCTTTTAAATAGATTCGAAAATAAAAATCTACAAAATGCTTTTGTGTTTTATGGTTTGGTTATGAAAATAACCAACATCAAATACTACAAGTTTTATTGTGATAATAAGCATTGTTCTAACAACCACACACTTGCCACTACCCAATCAATAAAGGAGATACAACACAATTTTAAACTTTCATAAATGATAATTTAAGATTGTCCCTAAGAAAACCTAGGTCACCTAATTTATGGAAATAGTAAACAATAGAATCTACTAGTATCATTCACATTGTTACAAAAAATTAATGAGAACATTTCCATTATCTAACATTTGAGCTTAATTGCAAAAGAGAATACATCAATCACACAACATTTGTAAATAACTTTCAATTTGTACAAGCACCTGCCAAATTATCCGAAAATGAGAAAGAGAAAACTTGTGCAATTTGAACAAACAACATAAGCCATCGAACACAGAAACATATATTTGATGTCGAGCATTAAGATAAGTTTTGTTAGATATTGCATGTTTGAACATTGCAAGACTAAATCCGTTATTTCCATCAAATATTCAACCAATTCCACCATATTGCTATTATAGCACGACTATATAGGTTAATGTATATTTTCTATTTTTATAATCAGTTTAAGAAAATAGTGATTTTGATGGAAAAATACAGTCTCAATATATTTAATTAGACCGGAACATTGTACTTCATCAAATCCCATGAAAGTCATAATGTTTTTATATTGGGATTTCTAATATAATAACACCCAACAAATGATCTAGTGATGAAAATATTTTCTTTTTCTTTTTCTTTTTGACCTAAGCATAAACCAAATCCGAATGGCATGATTTTTTTAGCCATTGGAAAACATTTATATGGTTTTATTTCCATTTCATGATGTTGGATAGTAAGAGCAATGATTGAAATTTATAAGATAATTTGGGACGACAAAATACATGAAAATTGATAAGAATAGACAAAAAGGGGAACGAGAGAAAGACACTTGAAAGCAATTTTTGACAATTAAATACTAGTTTAAAACCTCACATTAAAGTTGTATGTGGTAGAAAAAAACTGTTGACAAAATGTAAGTGATTTAGTTGAAAAATAAAATAAATGAATTGTCTTGATAGATAATTTTGGGAAATGGAAATACAAATTGTAACTAGTATTCCATGAAATAACTAAACATAGTGAGATTACATTTTATTAGAGAAAACTTATCAAGATAACTTAAAAAAACTAAGATAGATACGACCAAAATAACGTGCAACCATATAATCAATTTTGGTTTTTTGTTTTTATGTATTTGTTTAATGTTTCGGTCCCAGTTTTGATTTTCTTTAATGCATTTTGCTCCAAAAAAAAAATTCATAGAAGTTTACAAATCTAACCTAAATTTTTGGCTTTTGAAATACTAAAACATTCAAAACCTTGTAATTTAAAAATAGTTTGGTTTTTCGGCCATTTTGTTTGAGGTCGGTTTATATATATATATATATATATATATATATATATATATATCAAAGTTGGTATTGAAAATTACTTATAAGCTCTAGCAATTTTTTTTTACCAAATTAATTAACCAAAACAAGAAAATTAATTGAAAACTATTAATCCTAATTTTTTACTTAATTAAACAAACTGTTGATTAGATAAGAAAAACAATGTTATGAATATTAAATAATATAAAATTGAGAGAGAGAGAGAGAGAGAGAGAGAGAGAGAGAGAGAGAAGAGAGAGAGAGAGAGAGAGAGAGAGAGAGAGAGAGAGAGAGAGAGAGAGAGAGAGAGAGAGAGAGAGAGAGAGACCTCTATCACAATTTGAGTAGGAGTAATATTGCATATATTGCTATGCCCCAACTTGACTGCAATATCTATACAAGTATAAAAGAGAGTTTATATATATTTTAGAACACGACAGAATAGAGAGTTTATATGGATAAACAAAATGATATAAGAGTGTATAAGTATGATGTTTGTAAACAAGGCCCGTAATTTTAAAAAAGCACTCCATGAAAACAACCCCATAGGCGAGGCCAAATTCATGGGGTTTATGCCAACGAATTAGTCTAATATAATTCACAATACATATTCTTTGTACTACAATTTGTTTCCTATTTAATTTCACTTCCTTCTTTTCATATTAGAATTTCAATTTGCACCTCTCCTTTTGTTAGTTTGTTAGTGAAACATAATAAAAAATGAATATTATTTTTAAGCAATCACACCATCAAAAGACTAATTTATACCAATATGTAATATATTTCTTTCATACATATTTATTAGAAATTTATATTTAGTTTGATAATAACGAGACTAGTATTATAATAGTTTTAGATTTCTAAAAAACATTTCATTTTTTTTTTAATGATTTTTAATAAAATTTATGGACAAATTAAGAAGCAAAATGAATGAAACTACACTAGATACTTGTATTAGAAAACCGCCAATTTTCCTATGAAACTTTTTGACGGAAATAATTATGTAGGAAAAACAAAGATTTTACTGATAGATTTCCAACAAGTATAAAATCCCCTAATTTAACGTCAATTTGCAACAAACTAGCAACAATAATAAATTCATTGGAAATTCATTGAAAGCTACCGATGTAATATAATGAAAATATTTTTCAAAAGATTATTATTCATTGAAAATCAGTCGGCAAATAACGATGAAAACATTAAAAAAAAACGTATTATTTACAATCCGTTTACGTTTGTGCATATGTATGGATTTGTACGTGAATGTGTATATGTATGTATTCCGACAAAATAAATCAAAAAACTAAAGGATTTGTAGGTATTTTGTCGGAAATATTTAAACATGAATTCTTGTTAGTTATCTGTTGGTAGTAGTAAAATCTAATATAACATTTACTGATTATATGTAGAAAATAGTCAAACCTGAAATTTTCGGAAGTACATTGGTAATTACTCATGCTCTGTAGGCCGAAGGATATTTTTTATCTGATTCCTGTCGATAATGGCCACTTTGGACGGAAATGGTCATTTTTCTAAGAATCCCATCTATAAATCTTTAAAATGTTTATGTATAATAGTGATATAGGTTTATAAAGAACATGCCTAAATATGTTGGTGATGTGGACAAAAAGTGAAAAGGTGATGTGGCATTTATGGACTTCTAAACATTGGAGATGTAAGATAAAAAGCATGGTCTACATACTTTCCAAGGAAACTCTTGCATGGGCCTTGGTGTATGCTTCACTCCTTTCTTTCCAGAGCTTAGATAGTTGCCTGAAAATCTACATATATCGCAACAATTGAGTATCATATAACATCTATACATACATAAATATATACATTTGCATCCGCATAACATAGATATGAAACCCTGGAGGGCCGGCCTAATAGTGGGTAAGCTAGGGATCGACCAGGGCCCACAACATCTTTGGGCCCAACTTTATATCCGTTAGTATGTTTATATATAGGCCCAACATCAATCCAATATAATAAATAAATGTAGCCTACTTTGTAACGCAGCTACCGTCTTTGACAGAAACACGGTTCTAAGTTCCAACACATGGCTATGTGTTGGTTTTTACTAAATTTAATTTTGTTGATATTTTTGCATATTTTAAAAAACTTAATACATAAGTTGTAGTTTACTTGGTAGAGCTATAAAGCATTATTTCTATTCTATCCACGTCAAGTGCAAAACCTTTATTAAATTTAACTTTTTTTTTTTTTTTTTTTTATTTTATTTTATATATTAGCATATTTAAAAAATAATTAAACAGTCGTACCTAGAAAGCAGTTTATAGCACCTGCTTTTTTCTATGTTAAAAAAAAAAACCAAAGGTAGGGGTATGTGAAACAATTAACCATGAAAAACTGAAATTTGTAAATTAATCATGACTTCCGCAGAGAGGGGCTATATGGAAGCCTTAAACATCTGAGGAATCGGACATGTGGGGAAAAAATACAAAAAAAACCCATGTTGGTTTACATACTTTCGTAAAAGATGTCTCTGCGGAAATGCATATGGCTTTGCAAAATTATGAAATGTTTAACTAAAAAAACAATTTTTTAAAAGAGAAAAAGCTAATTCACAGAGGGCACTATGGATCCGCAGAAAGGCCCTCTGTGAATCTGTTCTTTGTCCAAACATCTCTGAAGAACTGTTATTCGTATGAAAATTGCCAAATTCCGGATTTTCTAGCTGTTTACTCACCCTATTCGTTCCTATTTCTTCTAGATTCGATCGACCGTTTCTTTCCCGTTCCTCGTCTTCGTTCTACAGCAGACCTCCCCCAAACTCTTCCTCCTTCAGCAGCCAACACTAAAAACCCGGTTTTTTGTTTGGTAATTTTACAAAAATGCCCCTGCCACCTCATTTCCTCGGTGCTATTTTCAGGTTCCTCATAGATTTAAGGCCTCCGCAGAGCCTCTCTCTGCGGAAGTCATGACCATTTTACAAATTTAAGTATTTCTTGGTTAATTGCTTCATACACACTTTTTTATTTAGTCATTTGATGAATTTTCTCAAAAAAAAAAAAAAGTTGGAACACCATGGTTTCATAGGTATGTATAAATATGGTTTTATATGAACATATAAGCATTTTAAAGCATTTTAAAGAACAACAAATATCAAAACCATGTTTTTATATGTATCTACAACTATATTAAAGAAAAACAACAAATATCATGCATTGTACTTAATTTGTTAGAGACTTCGTATTTTATAAAAGTGTTCACATTAATAATTTTGTAGTCTGCTTTAAAAACTTAAAGACCTTGCATCTCAATAATAACACTAAAAAAAAAAATGTAAGTTAAATTTATTAACTTGTTTATATATAAATTTGTTTCTTATAAAAAAAATTGTATCTAATTGGCCAAAAACATAAATACCTCACTCCATATTAACAAAAAAAATTATACTATTAAATTTAATTAGTTCAAATTTAAAGGTCACATGAGGGTTTTGTATGTTAAAAGGTTTTTTATTTTGTTTTTGCTCCGTATCCAAATATCTAGCAAAGAGAAAAATACCACCTTTACATATGCTTCTCCAGATTCATCATGCAAAAGTGGTCGAGATGCAGTTCCTACATAAACTATTCGTAGTGCCAATGTTTCCAATGGTACATCTAGAAATATAGTAACACCCTTCTGCATATATTTCCTGACAAATTAAACGCAAACAATATAATTACCAAATTAATTAGCAACACACTTTGCTGACAATTTATATATATATATATATAATATATATATATATATATATATATATATATATATATATATATGCATACCAGTTGATAGGCTGAACAACAGCACCTCCACCCGTGGAAATCACCGATCCATGCATCGATGACAGCTTCCTCAACACCTCAGTCTTAAGGAATTATAAAACAAAAAGTATGATATCATCAGTGCAAATACATTAATGGAAAAAAAAAAGAGTTTTTCAAGGTCCGAAAAAATTAATAAATTCAGAGCTACTTAATTAACCTCCTTCTCTCTAAAGAATTTCTCGCCATGCAATTTGAAGATGTCAGCAACTGCGATTCCCTCGACAACCTCCTCTATTAGATTGTCACTGCACGCATTACTCGAAATAAAACGTGAAAAGGGATGACATTTGGGAACGATCTTTAACTTTAAAGTGATTAATGGAATCAGACGTCTTGACACAAACCTGTCGACAAAAGAATAGCCAAGAATTTTAGATAGGATTTGGCCAACTGTTGTTTTTCCAGAGCCCATCATTCCTGAATTCATATTGTAGAGTTAAGAACAATTAATGAGTTTAATTATAAATTTTCTATACATTTTGAACAAAGACAATATGTTAGCTGGAACTCACCAACAAGATATATACACCTTCCATCTAGATATGGTCCAATCTTCTCTAACTTGTTCTGCCATTTGAACAACATAAACTTAATTACATTGCAATGTAATTCATTTTTCGAAACAAAAAGAATACAAAAAAAAAAAAAAACGTTAAGACATAAGATATTTGATACCTTTATCATCAAATCTTCCTCGACTCTAAAACATTCAAATTGGAAAGCTGAAGCTACAAGAGTTTAAATGTCAGAACTGGTTAATTACTTATAAATGCATGCAACACCTTTCATATATAGTTTCACATTAAATGGTAACCAATTAAGTTTAGCCTTCAAACATTCTCAAAACAGGATGTGAATACTTGACATGCATGCATACTTGTATAGAGGAGAGAAGTTGTTGACATAATGACATGCATCTTTCACTAAATTCAAGGCATGTCTTTACAACTTGCATATACGATAAACGTACTTCTTGTAGTCTAATATTTAGCATATAATATTTGTTTTCATCTTGTGATCATTAAATTAACCAGAAAGTATATACCCGAAGACTGCTGAGGAGAACATAAAGCTTTCGTTTCTGGTGATCCATGTCCAAACGCTGCATTTAAGCATATGAATCCTTTGGAATAGCCTGTACTTTGTACAAATCCTCAAGGAATTGTTTAGTTTCATAAATTTTCTTATATAAACACTTACATGTTGTAAAGTTTAGGCTCCTAGAGTTTTCGGCCTCCATTTTCAGTGATCAAAACAATCAAGATTGGCTTGAGTTTTTAGCATCAAACGTCAATGGAAGACCTTAGATATATTCTTCATGTCAGAACAATAATCAGATAAGTTTGCCTGAATAAATATGTTATCTAACAAAATCATTCATCTTGTTCATGCATGGAATAGTTTATATATAACTAAACAGCAAAAATGTTGGATAAATCATGAATCAATATCATCTATGATTTACGTACTTAATCACACATTGCTAGCTGACACAACTATGGTACTATTGATGTCATTAACTTTAATAATAATTTTCAAAAAAACATGGTGAGCATATTTAACACAAATTTTTAAAGGAAATGGAATATAAATAGTAAAACAAGCAACAGATATATAGATACAAAGAGAGAAGTTGTATAGATTAGAACCTGATTGGAGCTTTGAGGTACTAATAATGGATGGAAGCGAACTCAAAATATATTAATTTTACATAGCGATATTACGTGTTTAATTTAATTACGGGAGTTTGAAGAAGGGAGATGATAAATCCACGGCATCTTTTTGATAATCCACTGATTTTTAAACTTAGTTAACAATTATGCCCTTATCTATATTTAGAATGCAATTTAGTTTTTATTTTAGGCACATTGTTCATTATTAATAGTTAATTATCGCTTTTAATTTTGTTGTTCACGAATCATTTTTGATACTTCATTTTCACTGAGTTTTTTTTTCACTGAATTTTATCATCTATCCATTAGTACTTAATTTTTGTCCTCCCTGATTATGACACTTAGGTTTTTTGTTTGTGAGTCAAAGGATGAGCCATAAACATTCTCAATTGACTAGTTATATGTTTGTTATTCAGATTTAACTAAAATGAAAATTAAATTGCATTCTAAATATAGATGTGGGCATATTTGTCAACTAAGTTTAAAAGTAAGTGGATTATAAAAAAAGCCGTGGATTTATCATCTCTCTTTGAAGAATTATGAGTTGTACCACAAAGTCCTCCCACCAAAAATATCACAAATTGACCCAATTTGGTATGAGTTTAATGCTTCGAAACTATGATTAAGACTTAAGAGTATCCACTATGATACGTTCTTTAGAATATCATTTCCATGAAAAACGAAAAGATAGTAGGATTGAGGTTTATATGATACATATCCACCTCATTCTCCATGAATTACAATAAAATGGCCCCACCACTCGTCAAATAAGATTTATACCACTCGTCAAATAAGATTTATATTTTTATTTAAAACCCTTTCAATTAGGGATGAGCAAATGGACCGGGGAACCGGCCGGAACCGGTACCGGAACCGGAACCCGATGGAACCGGTCGGGTCGGGACCGGGACGTTATTTTTGTGGATTTTTGGAATCGGTAGGAACCGGAACCGATATAACCGGAACCGTATGATGCTATTTTTCAAGGATCGGTTCCAACATTTGAAGACACGATAAAAACCGGTAGGAACCGGGAACCGGTAGAACCGGAACCGATAGAACCGCCGGGCCGGTTCGGTTCTTGATTTTGGCCGAAGCCGGTTCCTAGTTCCGACCAGTTCGGTCCTTTTGCTCATCCCTACTTTCAATCATATACAATATATATTAATTTTACATCCTTTTTATTAATATATCATAAATACGTAATAGAATAATAATAATAATTAATAAAATATATCATTAAAAAAGCTACCTAATACCTTCAAAATGAGATCAATATTGAATATGTTTGGACAATTTTTTTTATTATGATCTTTTTTTTAGTTTGTTAAAAAACCAAATAAATTTCATCAAAATATGTAACAAAAGTAAACTTTTTTTTTTTTGTTGGTATTATGCTTATATATAAATTATATGTTAAATGAATAAATACGTGTGCGTGGTCTATCTATGAATTTTTGAAAGGTTTTGATATAAAAGTTTATAGGGAGTATGATTTATTAAGGTAATTAACTTTTCGGTATGTTTACATCTGGGTAACTATCTTTTTTTTGTACATATCTAGGTAACAAACTTGTTGGAAGTGTTCACATATGACCATTATGACCTGTTATAGCAGTTAAATCCTAAATGTGAACACTTTTAACAAGTTCGTTACCTAGATGTGTACAAAAAAAAATAGTTACCTAAATATGAACAACACGGAGAGTAAAAATTAAATTACACGAATGGTCCCTGAGGTTTGGGAGAATTTGTGTTTTTGGTCCCTAACTTATTTTTTTTAACTTGGATGGTCCTTGATGTTTATTTTTGTTGCGTGTTTGGTCCTTGTTTTACCTAAAAAGACTATTGTGCCATTATTAATTTATTTTTTAGACAAAACTGCAAAAATGATCCTTGTGGTATGCATTTTTTGGGGCTTTGGTCCAATCCATGACTTTATTGGATTAGTAGTCCTTTTGAGCTAGTTTCATTGCGGATTTGATCCATCTGAATATTGAAATATAATCAAAATAATAAGAAGGCCTCTCTCTCTCTCTCATCCTTGACGCCACCCCTCACTTCCCTAACCACCGCCTCTTCCGGTGAAGTTGTCTTCTCCGGCGATGTTATCTTTAAAACCAATTTTAGCACTTCCATTCTCGCTCTCATCTATTCCTTGTTGCATCCAGTTCCAATTTAAGCAATGTCTCCGATTCCAGACAGTATGTTGAATGCCAAGTTTCCAAGAACATGAGAATATGCTTCCAAAATTGCACATCCAGAAATGTTTGAGGAAGGTTAAGGTGTCTGATTCTTATTTGCTGTAAAAGAACTTCAGCTTGGTTTATCAAGAACTCTATCTTATCAAGCTCCATGGAAGGATCCTTTAAGAACCATGATGTTCTTGCTCTTGGCGGTGATTTTGATGCACTGGTTTGTTCCATAATTTTTTCTTTCCAAGCATATATCACTGTTTCTAGTCTATTAATAGTCTTAATAGCAGCTTGTTCAGATTTTAAGTTGAGCAAGTTCAGCATCCCGATGGTTGAAGAAGAGATTATATTCAGTGTTTTATAAAGATCATCACCAAGGCTTGCCTTTCCAGACTGCAAAATATTGTAAATCAACAAAGAAAATTTGAACAATAATCACTACAAACCTAAGTACACATCGATCACTTCCAGCATTAACTTAAACAATGCAATATGTTTAGTATCAAACTCGATTGTGAAACATGGGTGTACATCAGAGGAATTTGCTAAACCGAAGTACACATTGATGTGTTAAGGAGTTGGGATTTGAATCTGAAGCGATGAGATAGACGATACCCTCCCCCAATTGGTGACCACCACCCACCTTCTTGTTGGCCATCCATTTGCAAAACAAACACCTCCATTAGAGTTTCCACACAATATGGTTCAAACCCACCTTATTGTAACGAGCGACTTGCCATTTTCTTTTTTCGGAGGTGTGCATTACGGGACTCTGTCGACATCACCTTCTCTACAGTCTTCTCTGGCGATAGTGCAGTTGTAGGAGATGAACATCAAGACACTGCCAGAAGATGTACGACACCGAGATGCAGGAGAATCTAGAGACGATTTCAAAGGGAAACGATGGATCTAAACCTCTATCGATGGAAGATGCTTGGAGGTGCCGCAGGGGCTTTTTAGACAGAAAGATGGGGGTTATGGTGGTCAACTGAGTCTCTAAACAAATGTAGCAGATCCTCTATTAGACTGTCTTGTTCTTGTTGGATATTGATTGTGGATGGGGATTATCGGTTTATTTGCAAATGGGTCATTATGAGAGAGAGAGAGAGACCCATTTTTTTTATTGTTTAAATAAATAAATAATTATTAGATTTAAGAAAAATGAAAGAAAAATAGAAAATAAATACCCCAAGGGTATTAACATCATTTCAGTTTACCGAGGGACCAAATCCGCAACGAAACTAGCTTAAAATGACCACTAATCCAAAAAAGTCAGGGTTTGGACTAAAACCCCCAAAAAAAAATGCATACCATAAGGACCATTTTTGCAATTTTGTCTATTTTTTAATTAAATTTCTTATTTATGTATTTTTTTTTACATATTTTAAAAAATTAACAGACCACACATATCTATATTTTCTCACCATCTCATCTTTCATCCTTTTCAACTTCTATTTATTTTTCATCTTTAGTGATATCGACGTCTTCACCATCTTCAACTCTGGCGAACCAACACCATAACCTACTGTCTCTTCATCTTTAGTACATAAACAAAAAAAATTAATAAGGGCACAATAGTCTTTTTAGGTAAGACAGAGATCAAGTTCGTAACAAAATTAAACAATAAGGATCATCCGAGTTAAAAAAATAAATTTATTAAAAAATAAACAATAGAGATCATCCGAGGAGATACAAATATGTGTGGTCTATTAATTTTTTTAAATATGTAAAAAATAAATACATAAATAAGAAAATTAATTAAAAAATAAATTAATAAGGGCACAATAGTCTTTTTAGGTTAAACAGGGACCAAACATGCAACAAAAATAAACACTAAGGACCATCCAAGTTTAAAAAAATAAGTTAGGGACCAAAAACACAAATTCCCCCAAACCACAGGTACCATTCGTGTAATTTAATTTTTACCTTTTGTTTTGTTCATATTTGGGTAACTTTTTTTTTGTACACGTCTAGGTAACAAACTTGTTGAATACGTTCACATTTAGGATTTAACTTGCTATAGCAAGTCATAATGGTAATATGTGAACACTTTCACTAAGTTTGTTACCTACATGTGTACAAAAAAAAGATAGTTACTCAGATGTAAACATACCGAAAAGTTAATTACCTTAATAAGTCATATTCCCAAGTTTATATATATGTAACGTAGCACTATAAGTATGATAATTTAGAAAGCTACAGACCTTAAATTACGTCCGCCATTAGAGATGTTCTATATTTGTTCTTTTTAAGTGTTTATAAGTACACAACAAATCTTAATGTTAAAAATAGCCTTTGAAGTTACCATGAGAACTATCTACATAAAACGAAGCATTTTGTTAACGGTTAAAAGTTAGTAGCTTTCAAATGCT